AAGAAGTTAAGTATAAAGCCAGTATGCGTTGGCCTTCTATATACATCTTTGCTTAACTTTTCACCTGCTCTGATCACTAAAACATCTAAAAAGGTTAAATTATTGTCCTTCTCCATCAATGATAGTCAACTGGATCAGCTTAAAATAATTTTTCCTGAGAATAATAATCCCATAGGTTTGATTAAAATTAATATTAGATTAATAAAGAATAGCTTTTTCAATGGTGAATATGTAAGGATAGATAAGGAGAACTTTTCTTAATTTTTGTCCTTGCCTTCGTGCATTCTCTTTAAAAGGATAAGTGAACAAGTAAGGAAATTCGGAATAAAAACCGTTCTCAGGTCGCTTTTATGTTGGAGAGACATATATGTAGAAATGGGGAGATTGTGGTCATCAAACTTTGATGGCAGAAAACAGACATTACTTTTGCTGTCCTAATTACTTTGAGCCATCATTGCTGGTTTCGTGCATAAGCGAACGCAAACTAGCACATACACATACAGAGACAGACACACTAACAGGTTTCGAGGTTAACATATGACCGTGACTAACCAAATCACTTTATACCTCATCAAAGAGGTCAGATATATATATATATATACAGTATATAAACAGCTTTTTAGGGATTCGCCGATGAGTTTTCTTGATTCGCTAGCCTGAATTTGGTTGTAGTGATGATACCTTTATCTAATAATGTTCGTCATATAACGGACGAAAGCTTAGCACCTTTTCACCGGAATCGGAGATTACCTCGGAAACAGCGTCAGAATGAATCTTCTAGTAAAGCCAATCGACAGCTGGTCAAGATGAATCCGCCGTCGTCTTCTGATGGAATCGACCTTCTAATCTCTTCACCAAAAACTTTCACTGGAAATGGAAGTAAACTCAACAATTATGAAACAATAGATTCCTCGATACCCAACTCTTTTTCGCATTCCTTTCTTATTCTTATAATGAGGTTCTAGATTCTGACTGCCCCTTCACTAGAGCCCCAATGTTCCAAATATCCGCTAAAGCTACATTATTAGATTTCCTAAAGACCTATATTATCGATTACTCCTCTACAAATTACTTGTACTCAATATGATTTATCGCGATTTAAGATCCTATAGCACAAAATGCATTTGTATGCCTTTTTTATTTTGTATCATAGTCATTCTTTATTCAATGCCCGCATATTTTAAGGTTTCCGTTTATTCAGGCTATTCCGCAATGAAGTTTTTATTTCTTTTACGCAACAAAATATATAGACATATGTATATATCCTTTAGATTATCCGATGTAGTCCATACCGGGTAGCTTATATAGTCTGAACTATTTATGAAGCTTTTGTCAAAGAAGTATTCAGAGGATTTTCGATTTCTAGTTTAAAAGGCTAGTATTTAATTTTTGTTCCGCCTAATGGTGATAGCTATTCTAAAAAGCTTCCTATTTGCACTACTTAAATATATTCGAATCTATGTTTTTCCTCTGCTTTCCTAAGATCGATTCAATTATGATCTCATTTGATATACATATCCCACTTTATTGACTCACTAATTACTGATTTAGATGACCTGAAGGCAGATTTTAATGCAGAATACCTGGATTGCCTCCGCGTGACACATGCATTTATTGTCTGGCGAAGTTCATTTCGCTTAGACAACTTGTCAACACATGACCTCTACCTTGATATCGCGGATTTACCTCAGCCCAATTTGAAACAGACACCTCCCACCCGGGCTGCCTCGCCCCACCAAGTCGCTACGGCAGAATCCGGAGGCCTCTCTGTATCTTCTGCCGGTCGAAATGATAAAGGCGAGTCAGATCAAGCTTCGGAGATTCTAACCTCCAAAGATGTGAGAATTTTATCAAGGGATCATAATTTACCCAAACCTCAGATAATATTTTAAGTAAACTTTTTAAATTCCATCTTTTTAGTTATCAGTTTGTTGATGTTTTCAGGGATCTAACTTGCTATCAAGATTATTCATTCGCATATGCCGTTGCGTTTACAGTGCTAGTATACTTATTTTGTTTGCTCAGATGTCATAGATCATGCTTTTACCATCAGGCCATTATGCTCTAGCCAAGCTCATTTTTGGCCATAAAATTATCTACAGGCAATGTGGGACTTTGACTTAATTATGAAAGTCAGTTGTTTGAAGCCATTTATATCAAAGAATAAATCATTTTATTTAGCAGTGAAACTTCTAATGGCTGCTTTATACCTTAAGGATGATATCTAACTAATAAAATTACCGAATTTACTCTATAATTACTTTTCTACCCTACGAAGTCTATCACTTACTGGGATTTATTGACTGGTAAATACTCCATGTCTGATTCTGATATCTCATACCTTATTGCCCCTGTACAACTTCCGTGTATGAATATCTGGTATTTAATTCTACTAGCTATTATTTAAGCGATATAATTAGGCTATAAGAACTAAGTTATATGAGATGTATTCACTCTATTTCGTTTAATGTGATAAAGGACTCATAGTAGAATTCTCCCACAATTATATTAGTAGAGATGACGCTTCCATTAAATTTCACATATCTTTGCTTTCCAAAAGATTGTTCTGATCCAGGGTGGACTGCAGTTTCGACCTCGCCTAGGTCTTATCAACAATCCCCGCGGGATTCGAACCGTGACAGTGCAGCATATGAGCGTGACACGGTAACCACTCAACCACATTTCCTCGAGTGCCCTTGGGTCAAAGGGCAGATGTGAATTTCAAGAAAGGCCAGGTCTAATACAATATCACATTATTTGATGGGGTTGTGGATGAAGCAAACGTATTTTTGCTATAATATTCTAATAAATTACTTATTTTTCGTATATAAGCAGAGTTTTGAGACTACCAGTATATCAGTTATACAGAACAAACCCGGCCTTCCTTGCTCTGTGAACCAAGGACACTCATGACAATGTGGCTGAGTGGTTGACGTGTAAAACTCACATGCTGCACTGTCACGGTTAGAATCCCGCTGGGGGTGTTGAAAAGACCTATCCGAGGTCGAAACCACACTCCACCCTGAATAAGAACAACTTTTTGGAAAGCAAAGCTATGTGAAATTCAATGTAAATGTCAGCTCTACTCATCTCATTGTCGGAAAATTTTACTACCTACCACCTCAAGTGAATAAATCTCAATTTGTGAAGATTCAAAAGATACACATTTGCATCATGCACTGCTTTTGCTATACATTCTATTTTTTATTTTTGATGAGTTCGGCTTTTTTAGTTCGTCTATGTTATTTGGGCATTATAATTATATTACTGGTGTTGTCGGATGCATGTTATAGTGATTTTGTATTCATCATCCTCAATTAACTACTCATTACGTCAATAAAATTCAAAAAAGATATATTTAAAGTGCATTCCCTACTTGAAAGTGTATTTTTGTCATTTCTTCCCATTTGTACATTTCGTCTTCTAGTCTCATGACCTTAATTGGGGCGAGAGGCAGATTGTGCCGCCCAACAAAAACGAAAATGTTGGCCTTCCTACTCCGGCGCCGTGGCAACATCCTGGTCGACCCTATCTTGAGAATGATGTCCTGGACACGATGATGGACGGACTCAAACAGTATGATTTAATCCGATCACAACACTAGGCCTAGAACATAGAGCTTAGCTAGACAATTATATTGTGCCAGATTACGCAAACAGCATTGATGAAGCAATGGCCTTTTAATTGAACAGACATAAATATAATTTTTTTACCTTGTTTTCGCAAATTGGTAATATTGGTAGGAAAAATTAGAGAAACACACCTAGTCCGGAGTCCATTGTATGCATCATCATTTCCAGAGTAGGACCGAGGATGTGGTACATTCCCAAACGCTTCGACGGCATCGTCAATGAGTCTTGCCATTCTTAGTACCACACTACAACTCATCAAGTAAAGCCGATCCTTTGACTAATTGTGTGCTAAACAATCGTGGTATCTTTCCTTCCTCCCTGGACTAATCACCAATCCTATATCCTCATATCACGCCTCTACTATCACAATTTTTTGCTTATTTAAATTTGGTATGGCGTGCCCTTTTGAGCGGCTTTCGTGAGAACTCTCCATACATTGGCTTTCTCGCTCACTTTCACTCACGCACTGCAGGAACGGGACACATAATGGACTGGAAATCAACAGAGGCTGGCTGAATATTGTGAAAATACGAGAAAACGCAAAATCCGAGAGGCCATCGATAGACTGATCGAGATCATTCTAATGAACAGGAGACTTGAAGAAGGCAGGTCAGCGAAAGCTTTGCACGTTGCCTAAACAAACTCGGAGAAGACCAGGTAACAGTAGGATCAGTAAAAACAAGACGACTGGATCAAGGTAACATCTTCCATTTTAGAAGAAATCGCAAGGCGGCCAGAAAGAAACAAGCAGAAGCCAAGAGGAGACGTCTTCAGTGAACCTAATCAAAACAAGTAGAACCACAACATTTGTGGGTTGGCACACAAGATACTAGGACAGAAGCATAGAAACAAGATAGACGCGGTGGAGATTAGAGCTATTTGACTAACAATATACGTGGTCCTTAAAGCACGTCTACTGTTAGCAAACTAGCTCTGGCTTCCAACGCGTATATCCTATTTATATCTGTAACACCAAGTCTATGATTTCCTACGC